GTCTCCCGCGACACGCTTCGTTGCTTCCAATCAGAAATCCGTGAGAAAGAATGCCAGGACTGAGAAGAACCAGCAAGGCATTTGTTCGAATACCATCGGTCAGATCGATCGATTGAATTGGCCTTCCTGATGTTTTTAGGAAAACCTATGCCCTTTGTGTGTTATTTTGTACGTCATTTTCTGTGGTGCGAGTAAATTGATATGTATAGCGTTTGATTAGAAGGGTTTTGATTTGGTTGAAGGATTGAAGCGTGTTTGAATAAACGTTGCAGAAGAGGAACATGTAGTTATGCGATAAATATAGTATTACGTGAATAGGTTCTTCAACGAGTAAATGATTCCTTCTGATTCTCATTAGTAGAATCATTGTACTGCGTGAATATGAATTTCATCTAGCAGAGTTAGCTCTTCGATTGATCAGATTATCACTTATCTGTTTGAAGTTTGATTTGGAATGAAATTTTATGACAGTCTTTTGTAATGTACCAGACTCGAGATCTCTATCACACTTATGAGAAATTTAAAAATTGCAGAAATGTAAAGAATACATATAATATCCAAGGAATACTCGACATAATACGATTTAATAGCTTTGAAGGAACAAATTTCTCTCGATCTTATATTTGTAATTGTATTCAAAAGATATTTGCAGCAATAATTGCAGTAACAAATAATTAACCTTTAGAAGAATGAAAATATGTATTTCGATATATCTCAACACCAAGCCAGAGTGGTTAAAATAATAAATAAAAGTGAATGAATTTTATAGAGTGTACGAGTTTGATATTTTAATCATCATTTGATATTTCATAAAAATGAAAAATTGCTAGACAGAATACTTTGACTAAAAAAAAAAAGAAAAAAGCATCGAATCTTTCGGTTCTCCACAAATTACTCAAACTCCACTTTCAAATACCACTCTCGAATACTTGATATTCCCGGTGTCAGAATCCAGGATCGGTGTTGACGTTCGCTTTTCCCCCCGTTCTTTATTTTATTTTTTTCCATTCTTTTTCATTTGTTCGTGGTTCGCCTTTCTTCTTGTCGCCGAAACTTCGCAATTAATTCGCCTGGGATTCCGCCGCATGATTATACGCGACGACACCGGTTTCGGTTCACGATTGGATGGCCTCTGACCTCGGAGGAATTCCCCGCGGAGGAACGCCGCGGAAAAATCGCGGGAACGGGTTGAATGAGGCCTTTTCTACCGGTGCTGTGGATTCAATGCGCATTCTGGCCGGGCGCATATGTGAAACGAGGCTGCGGATGATAATGGCAAAAGTAGCGGGTTCGCGCTCGCGCGCCAAGCGACGAATGTGATGTGAAAACAAAAAAAAAAAAAAAA